CCGCGTTGCTACATCTAAACGCGCCGGTCGGCGCAGCTGCGGCGTCCCTGGCAGCCGGGCCGCGCACGTCAGCGCCGTTCACAATCGCGGGCTATAAATGCGGCGGCGGCAGCGAGCTGGCGGGGCGAGGCTGAGCCCGGGGCCGGCAGCAGCAGCAGCAGCACTGGCTGCCCGTGCCCAAGGCCGCGCTGGGTGGCGGCGGGGGCAGCACCACCTCTAGTCCCGTAGGCAGCGCGGCGGCACCCGCCCCAGCCCAGTCCCCGTCCCTGTCCCCGTCCCGCCGCCTCGGAGCCATGGCCGACAGTCTGCGGAGGCTGGTCAGCCAGGGGAGCTGCCGGCTGCTGCAGGACAAGCTGGAGAGCTGGTACCAGGACTACCACGTGAGTGCATCCTGCAGCGGGCGCGTGGCACTGCCTCCCGGGCCGCCGCTGCTGCGGGGGTTGCCGCCTGCTCCAGCCCCGCGCCCGCCGCAAAGCCGAGCTGGGGGTAGCGGCTGGAGGCGGCTCCGGGGCCAGAGCCCGGCGCTGAGCCCCGGGAAGCGGTCGCTAAGGACGCCGGTTCCCAGCGCTGCGGTGGTTGCCAGCGTTACCCGCGTCCGCTGCCGCGGGACATCCTCCTCCGCCTCCCGCCGGAACAGCGAGCTCGGCCGGGCCCTCCCAGCGCGCCGCCTGCGGGACCCACCGGCTCTGGCCCGGGCCTCGCCTGCTGTCGGACCCGGGCTTTTCTCTCCCGCGCGTAAATGCTTTCCAGAAAGCTTGGTGAGGTGAGCAGCAGGGTAGCCCCCTGCTTCCCACCCAGCTGACCCCTGAGGCCCCGTCCGACCCGCGGTGCTTCTAGGACAGCGGTTTTCAACTTCTTTTTTTCAATTGCCGACCCCTAAAACATTTTGAATGGAAGTGCAGACCCCTCTGAGCTGTAACAGTGGGGGTTCACATACTTTTGATTCCTCTGTCACGGCCCCCTTAGACATGGTCAGCAGACCCCCCAGGGACCTGCAGGTTGAAAACCACTGCTGAGGAGATTTCCAAGTACAGGTACCAAGCATAGCAAATGTTAAGGGACGTATGTTCCTTCTCAAGACCACAAAACCTTAGACATGGAATAATTGTCATCTTGCAGCAAGACTGCACACCACAACAATGGTCAACAGCTTGTTTTGGGTGGGCTTTCAAAGGCCTCTTGTGAGAAGGTACTTGTCCTGTTGCTGCTACAGACATGGAACATGATTTTTTTGAGCTTCATTTAGGCTCTGGAGATATCTTTCATCTGTATCTCACTGCAGTGTAGAGCAGTGATCGGCAACCCCCGGCACGCATGCTAAAGCTTGGCACGTGAGGCCATTTTCCTTGGCATGCCACAGCTGACCCAGACTTGGCAGCTTCTGCCAGGAGCTGCCCAGAGCCTGGGCTGGCTGTAGCCAGGAGGCTGCAAACAGCTGCTTGGGACTCCGCAGCCCTGGCACCAGTTTTGTGGCTGTGGCAACTGTATGCCCACCTGCGGATGCATGGCTGGGAAGGGGCCAGGGGCAGTGCAACCCTGGCTCCTCCCCCAGAGGCACAGTCATCTGCTGCTGCCATGGACTCAGTGCCACGGCTGCAGAGCCCAGCACACTGTTTGCAGCCTTGCAGTTCCCTGCTACAGCTGCCCCAAGCCTGGGCCAGGTACAGAAGGCAGCCAGGAGGCTGCAAACAGCTGTGCTGGGCTCTGGAGCCCTGGCACTGGCTCTGTGGCAGCAGTGGGTGCATGCGCAGCTCACAGCACATGGCAGGGAAGGGGGCCAAGCAGCGCAACCCTGGCCCCTTCCTTGCTGTCCACTGGGAGGCATGCATGCAGTCACTGCCAGCAGTGAGGATCGGGCCCCTTGTGGCTCCCCCATTTCTGGCATGCCAAGCTGAGGCGTGGATTTTGGCACTCCAGCTAAAAACGTTGCCGATCCCAGGGTAGAGTGTATCAGTTTCCAGGTCTATGTACAGACGTGTGCACTTCCATTTTCAAAGCAAATCAGACTTCTTCATCTTCAATTCAAACTTAGAATCATTGCCTTGTTGCCTACAAGCAAATCTATTTTACAGATTTAAAAAAAAACAGCTGTTTTTTTAAACTATTTTGTTGCACAATTGAAACGTTACTACCATTATAACTTAGTACCAGGGATACTCATCTTATAATCCAGGGGTGGACAAAATACGGCCCACGGGCCGCATGTGGCCTGCCAGCCCATTCTATCCAGCCCACGGGGCCTCTAAAAATTTTAGAAAATTAATTTTTATCTGCC